ATGTACAACAAAAGCAGTGGGGAAAAAAGCATTATTTTGATTAGATTAACAGCATAATGAATATTATAGGGTCAAAGCACGATATGTGACAAAATGTAAACAAAGAGACAACAAATCATGTGGGTAAAATACGTCAACAATTACGTATTTCGTCAACAGTTAAAGCTCAAAATCACATCAACAATTCGTATTCAATAAATATATCTTCTCGAGGGGTACAAATTAGAGAATCTCAGTTATTTACTGGCTGAATGGGGATTCTTCTAGATTGTACTTCTTCGACGGTGCATTTTTTCTGAGCAGTGACTCGGAGAACTCCGTCGTCTGAGAGACTCGATTCCACACTGTCCGGCAGCGCAGTCGTATGTAGCAGGAATTTTTGGACGAAATGTCGCTCGACGCTCCCGTGCTGGTCGCTGCGTTCTTCGTGATGTCCTTCAATGCACACTTCTCGATCTTGGATTTTCACCGCGAGTTCTTCGGGATGGAACGCACTGACATTTAGCTTGACGGCAAATCTGCCCTTCTCATCCGTCACCTGAAATGAACGAGACGCTGTTAGACGTCGAAACTTAGAAAGCAGGTCACTTGTCAATTTCTGCTGCAAAAATTATAGGTAGTCAATAAATATAGCAAAGTAATAAATTTATAGCCAGCGCAGCCCCCTAACTTGAAAATACCGGTCCAACTGCGAAGCTCCTAAGGCTGTTGCGAGCAGCCCCCACAAGAAGACACGCATCGCACGACGGGGTGAAGAACTCGAACAAACTGCTAATTTCTCAGGCTATGAGCTGATATAACTGGGGGTACTGTTGAGACTGGACCATGGAAAGTTGTTACCTTTTGGATGTTCTCGTTCACAACGGGCCATTCGTCGGAGGCAGGCCCGAGCATACGGTCCATTCGGCGTATCGCATGTGCGAATTGTCGCTCCATTGGGAAAGTCGGCCACTCGAATTCACGCTCCACGGGAAGTGGACGCCAAAGGGGCGCTACACGGTCGGTATGCGAACAGAGCCATGGCAAGTGAGACGATGATGACAGCATTGATTGGGGAAAGCTTTGAAATCCAAAGAATTCTTACGTAGAAGTTGATTTTACTCACGTGAATGAACGTGCTTATATAGCGGACCAGCAATCACGTCCAGAATGTTCTCTTGCTTTCCAGGACATTTTGAATACCCTCTTCCCAAGCTATTTTCATGTCTCCTTGCTTCTCTGCTGTACAAGTCCGTCCCGCCGACCAATAAACATCCCGACAAATCGAGAAGATTCCGGAATCCTCCAGAAATTTCGGGGGAGAATTCTCAACGCATCGGCAGAAAATATTTTTGGGATTTGCCAGAATTTGTACATTTCAGAAAAATGCTCCAATTTCTGTGAGAGCCGGCAGCATGTACACCTAATTTTTATTGCCAATTTTCTCAAAAATAAGTAGTAGCAAGCTGTGTGTGTGTACTGAAAAAACTCACATTAAAGTTACAGGAATTGGGACACCGTAGTTCTGGAAACGTAATCACTGACTCTGCGGTTAGTTATAAACCTAAAAGGAACTTCAGCCCCACCATCACTTTGAGCCAGATCCATTATCAGGCGGTCTACAAAATTCTGTTCAAACTGAATAAAATTCGCTCAGCTTCACGTACGCCTCTCATTGCTGACGAGAGCGCATTTAGCATCTCTTCAAAAGTGTACTTTTAGAATAGGTGGAAACTAAGATCCTCCACAATTCATTGTTTGCAGGATGCGACGGCACTTGAAAATAGCCGTAGTTATAATGTGTGTCAGCAGCAATTATTTGCTGGTAAGTCTATCGACGACTGCTACTCTTCGAAAACTGCTAGTACCAATTTATCATCGAGACGAATGAACGTAAGCTATGGGGGGCCAAAAGTATCACTAACGGAATCGAACTCTGATCTTTAGTACAAAAGCACAGCTACTTACAATTATAACGCGCCCAGCAGCACTGTATTCCATGTTTACAAGTATCCGCATTTTTTGGATACTGCATGGATTTCTATCCTCAGTCCGGATCTGGGCATATCCGTCGGTCTAGAAGAAATTATTTCCGACTGCCTTCTTGGAAAAAGTGAGCTTACTTTTTTCACTTATTCTAAAAGTGCACTTAGATAGTAAGCGAAGGGCTGGTTTCCTTTTGAAAAAACGCTAAGTGCGCCCCCGTCAACAATGAGAAAGCGTACGTAAAGCTGAGCGAATTTTATTCAGTTTGAGCAGAATTTTGTAGGCCGCCTGATAATGGATCTGGCTCAAAGTGATGGTGGGACTGAATATGTTTAGGTTATGGTGATAGAGATTTTTTCCGCTTAGATTCTTTTATTAAGTCTGGATGATATAAACATAGGGGTTTATCGAAAGTTTGAAGTGGATAATCGTTGTATTATCCCTGTGGATATTAATTCAGGTATTTATTGAACTTCAACAGATGTTATTCATTCTTTGAAGTTCCTTTTAGATTTATAGCTAACCGCAGAGTCGGTGATTACGTTTCCAGAACTACGGTATCCCAACTCCTGTAACTTTAAAGTTGAGTTTTTTCAGCACACACACACAAATACACACACGCACAAAAACACACACACACACACACACAGCTTGCTACAACTTATTTTTGATAAAATTGGCAATAAAAATTAGGTGTACATGCTGCCGGCTCTCACAGAAAACGGAGCATTTTTATGAAATATACAAATTCTGGCGTCCCCCAGTGCATTGCGAATTCTCTCGAAATTTCTGGATAATCGAGGAATCCTCTCGATCCGTTGGGATGCTTACTGGTGGGCGGGACATGTACAGCAGAGAAGCAAGGAAACATGAAAATAGCATGGGAAAGAGAGGATCCAAAATGTCCTGGAAAGCAAGGGAACATTCTGGACGTGATTCCTGGTCCTTTATATA